CGTGCCCTGCCTCAGGTCATCTGCAGAACCTGCTTCAGGAGGTGCCGGCCTTCCCTGCACTGCCCCCGGTCTTGCTGGCCCAGCGCCGCAGCCCAACTGGCCTCATGGAGGGGAGAAATGCCCGCAACCCACTTCCCTGGGCTGGCATGGCATGGCCTGGCCCAGGGAGGCTGTGGGCCCTGCTTCGGGGGGAGGGCCCTGCCAGCCTTCCCTGCACTGCCCCCGGCCTCACTGGCCCGGCAGCGTGGCCCTATTGGCCTCGGGAAGGGGGGAGACAGCCGCGCCATGCTTTCCTGGGCCAGCATGATTTCACTGCCCCTGAAGATGGCCCTCCAGGGCCTTTCCTTGACCCACTAGACATGTTTAAGAGTTCTATTAACAATAAAGACACACTTACCCCTCCCTTTTAAATTTTTTATTAACAGCAAAGAATCACTCACCCCTCCCTTCCAGAGAAAGACTTCTTATTTTTTTTAAAGTGGCTTATCAGAGTAATATTATCATTTTTATCAGATTACGTAACCAGGAATCTTATCAAATAATTTACATTACAAAAAGAACAGTTTATACTTTTTGGGTACAGTGTGGCTGTGAGGCTTTTGCGAGCTATTTTGCAGATAAAGTTTTGATGCTCCGCCGCGACCTCCCTAGGGGCGCCACAGTTGTAACAGTTAGCGAACTCGAGGCCCCTTGCGCATCTTCGAGTCCGGGTTTAGAGTGTTTCAACCAGCTTAGCCTGGAAGAAGTCGACAGATTGCTCATATCTGTACGTCCAACCACTTACGGCCTTGACCCGTGCCCCTCCTGGCTCATTAAAGCGGGCCACGAGGGGTTTCGAGGTGCCTTGAGGGAGATTGTTAACAAGTCCCTTTCAGAAGGGTGGTCCCCCGAGGCACTCAAGGAAGCGATGGTGCGCCCTCTCCTGAAAAAACCAACTCTGGACCCAGCTGAATTGGCTAACTATCAGCCGGTGTCCAATTTGCCCTATTTGGGCAAACTGATTGAGAGGGTGGTGGCGATTTAGCTACAGTTTCAAGTTTCAAGTTTCACTTATTGTCTTAGCCATTGGCCATAACAACACAAAGTAAATCAAAGCACAACAGAAATATACATCAATAACTTGCAGTAAGTCCTAGACCCCGTCTTATCTTTTTTGCCGCCAGTGCAAACAAAGCCATTCTGCTAGTAACATGTGCATCAGTATCAGAAAGCAAGAACACGGTCAAATCCTGCTCAGCAATTCCATTATACAGAGGTACAATAGGATAAATAAACCTTTGCCTAAGTAATTCGTGCCATAAACATCTCAGAATGTAATGCTCGACATCATCCACTTCACCCATACCACATAGGCATATTCTAGAGGTGGCAGGGGATTTAGCTACAGGGCTTTCTGGATGGCGCTTCTGTCCTTGACCCATTTGAGTCTGGTTTTTGCCCGGGATATGGGACGCAGACAGTACTGGTTGCCCTGACTGATGACCTTCATAGGCATCTGGATCGAGGCGGTGTGGTGGCGCTGTTGTTGTTAGATCTGTTGGCCGCATTTGATACATTCGACCATCAGCTGCTGTCCTGCCGCCTCGCCGACGTGGGGATCCAGGGGCTCGCCCTTCAAGGTCAGGGACAGAGGGTAGTGCTAGGGGAACAGCAGTCCCAGAGGCACCTGCTGGAATATGGGGTGCCTCAGGGGACGGTGCTTTCCCCAATGCTGTTTAACATATATATGCGCCCCCTCGCCCAGATTGCCTGGAGGTATGGGCTAGGGTGCCATCAATACACAGATGACACCCAGCTCTATTTGATGTTGGGCGGCCAGTCAGACTCCTACCCAGAAGATCTGCACCGGGATTTACAAGCCATGGCTGGGTGGCTCAGACGGAGCAGGCTGAAAGTAAACCCGGTGAAGACGGAGGTCCTGTGCTTGAGTTGGACCGGACCGGGGTTAGGGCTCCCACTTCCGACCTTCAACGGGGAACCTCTGGTGCCAGCTTCGGAGGTTAGGAGTTTGGGAGTGCTCCTGAACCCCACCTTAACGATGGAGGCCCAGGTGGCAGCCACTGCCAGATCAGCCTTTTATCATCTTCAGCTGGTACGGCAGTGGGTTCCTTTCCTTGACTGCAACGACCTAGTCACAGTGATCCATGTGACGGTCACCTCGAGGCTAAACTACTGTAACGCTCTCTACATGGGGTTGCCTCTGTCACAAATCTGGAAGCTGCAGCTGGTGCAGAATGCTGCAGCCAGGCTGTTGGTGGACGCCCCTAGGTGGGAGCACACCCGACCTGTACTGAAAGTGCTGCACTGGCTACCTATAGCATACTGGATTCGCTTCAAAGTCCTGGTGCTTACCTTTAAAGCCCTACATGGCCAGGGTCCGACATACCTGAGGGACCGCATTTCCCCACATATTCCCCAAAGAGCCCTTTGGTCAGGGTCACAACACCGGCTGGTGACCCTAGGCCCCAAGGAGGCCAGGCTTGTGGCAACAAGGGCCAGGTCCTTTTCAGTGGCAGCTCCTATCTGGTGGAATGAGCTCCCAGAGGAGATCAGGGCCCTGTGGGACCTCTTGCAGTTCTGCAGGGCCTGTAAGATGGGGCTCTTCCACCAGGCTTTCGAGTAGTAGCCGCCACTGCCACTACCACCACCGCTCCAGTACAGAGTGACACCGCCGGAGGGCCAGGTAACATCTATCTACGGCCCTAGCTCTCCCCTTCTGTTTGCAAGATGTAGGGGAGTTTTATCTTTTAAGTGTTTTATCTATTTTATATACTCTATGCACTTTGTGCCATGTGTAAGCTGCCCTGAGCCCGTTCGCGGGGAGGGCGGGGCATAAATACAATAAATAAATAAGTATAGACCCAACAATATCAAAATTCTTCAGTCACTTGGAAATGACGCTGCAAAACACTTTCCTCCTCCTTCTTTTTTTTCTTGTGGGACTTAATTGCTCCCATTTGTAATCCACAAAGCACCGAAGCAAACCCTCATTGTTATCCAATAAAGGGCCTACACCAATCCATAATAACTCCAAATAATCCCAATAGAAAGATATATCCACTTGTAGATCCAAAATATGGGAAAGAGGAAGTTTTTAGTTGTAATCCTGCCAAGTAAGTCCCAAGTAGCCAAGTTACTGAATGGAAGAAAACATAATCCAAATATAGTACATAAATATACTCTAATAAAAAATTCTTTAAAAGCCAAAGGTAAGTCCAAAAAAATAATCCTTACAGACTGTTGTTTTTCCAATTAAAGCAATAGGCAAACAAAAATTGGAGAAGGGTCCTTGTATCCAAAGTCTTTTCCCTTGCCAAACATAGAACTCAGCTTTTAAAGTCATTTATATTATATTCCAAACTATGGTCTAACCTTTAAAAACATTTAAAAGGTTCTGTTGATAGATTTATTTCCAGGCTTCAACCAAGTCTCTTAATAGCCTCAATTATGTTCCTCTAGCAGATCAAAGTCTCTTCCAAGCCATGGGAGTAAGGCGGGAGGGAGCCTGCCTCTCCTTCTTCTTTCTGTCTGGTTTTTATAGTTTAAAGGGGCCCTTAGCCAGTAATGGTTATAAAGTTTGTGTGTTTACTCTACTCACGATGCTGGAGTCCTTTTCTTTCCAAGTAGTGTGAAGTGTTAGGTCTCCCATTCGTCCAGTGTTCAGAACTTTGCAACAGTGGCTGGCATTGAATGCTCTCGCTCAGATCCTTGGCATCGAGGAGATCTGAACTCTGCCTCCCTACTACCGTAAGCAGGAGTGTTCAGTTCAAGCCCCTGCTTGAACCCCCCCTTCAGGAAGGCTCAATGGGGTCCGGATGATCCTGGACCTCCCTAGAGGGATCTGGGATTCAGCCGCTACTCAGGAGCAAGTCCCTGTGCAGTCCGAAGCTACTGTGCCGCAACCGGAAACTCAGCAGGGCTGAAAATTAACAGGAGCCAGAATGCCTTTGAAGGTCTCATTCTTGGTCCTTTGCCATCCATGCTGCTGTTTATAACAAATGGCTTACATGCATTTTTAAATTACTCAGGAAATGTTACATAAATAAAAATCTTAATAATTCAGCAATATGTAAACAGAACAAAGAACGCCTCATAGGATGTGTTTAATGAATAAAGCATGTATTATATAAGGCTGTCGTTCTGTTTGTGTGTGTGAAAAAGGGAGGTTGAGGAAGCATGTGTGTTAGAAAAGCATCTTTTAAATACATACACTCCGTGGTGTGTGTGGGGGGGGCTCAAAATTTACTTGGCTGTGGGAAACGGCATGCATTTTTAGAAAGCTTGGCGTATGGCTATGTATCCATTTCTTTGGGAAACTGCTCTCTTAATGAACAGTTTTGTACCAGTTCAGAGGCTGTTTCATTGCTGATGCCTGAAAAAGCTATTCTGGGCTTAGCGGAATGGCCGCATGATTCATTCGGCTCCAGCAAAATCTACTTTTATCATAGGAGCTGAATTAGATATGGAACAGATAACAGTCGGTTAATCAAAGTGCTATTAATCATCCTGTTAGGAAACACACACTGCACTGAGGCACACCACCATTCGCATCCTATTTCTATAATGTCTTGTCAGCGTGGCTCTTCAGAAATAATATCTGTATATTTATGTATCATATTGGATTAAAAATAATTCAGCGTTGAAATGCCAGCAAATGGGCAAGGAAGGCTGCTGGCTGCACCCATTCATTTGGAGAAGGCTGTAAATTCCTTTTGCTCTGGATGAGTTCTGCATTTTCAATGAGGTTAACTTGGCAACCTTCAAGTTGATTTTAATAAAAATAGCGGCTTTGAGGACAGGGAACAGAGGCTGCCAAATTTAGAGCTGCTGCACACAATCCTTCTTATACCTCCTTCAGGTCTACTTAGAACTAGTAAGCAAATTAAGTGTATCAATTGCAATTTTGTTTGCTAACCTCCCCCCCCCCTTCCTTCTCTTGAGGAATAAACTTGATTCTGTGCAGTCATGTGTCTGATGGGGGTGATCTCTTTTCTTTTCAGCCATAACACAAAGACAACATCATGGCTGGATCCACGACTTGCGAAAAAGGCTAAACCTCCCGAAGAGTGCAAAGAAAATGGTAGGCTATTAAGTTTCATTACTATTGCTGAAAGGCATAACAGAAAAGAGTTTTCTTTGTCTGGTGATTATTTTAAAAAAAGAGTATTTAGAGAATCAGTGTTTAATTGCTACTGTAGTGCGTTACTTGGTCCTTGGCATACAATGGTGGAAGAGGAAGATATCTGCAATATATTTTTGTATGGTATTCAAAGTTGAAAATAGCAAGTGTGTGTCCAGGGGATGGAATGGGGTTCAGTGTGTTTGATTCTGGGATGATCCTCTTTTTCCACCTTGTTCAGCAATGTATGCAATATTTGAAGCTGGTCATTCTATATAAAATCCAGTGCTTGAGGCAGATGTTAGCAGGGTTGGAGTATGAATATTCCAAAGTGCTTCTGTTTCGTAAAGAGACAGTACTGTGCCAGTGAAGCAGTAGGCAATTTAGACAAGTCAACGTCTTAGCAAAAGAAAAAAAAGAGGAGGGAAGAGATTGCAGAACATTTACTTGCTTGGGGAAAGGACATTTATATCATAGTAGAGTAATTTACAACAGTGAGCATTTTTTGGAATATTTATCATCTTTCTGATTTGGTTAATTAGCTATTGGAGATCAGTATGTTCGTCAGTATTGCCACTGTTAAAATACGAATCATACAGTCCTGTATAGCTTCAAAGGCAATCATTATTTTTAGGATTAGGATTGACCAGCCCCTTTTCAGAACTGTTAAATGTGGTTATTGAGATACTTCTTCAGTTGTCATTGTGTGTGTGTGTGTGTATACAGAGAGAGAGAATTTTTGCTGCACAGTGAATGTACTGTGACCTCAGAATTATAGAATCAGTAACAACCTGAAGATCTAGTGTAATATCCCCCACCCAGCAATGACTCTAGACTGGAAGAATTCCCAGAAGTCTTTCTTTCTTTCTTTCTTTCTTTCTTTCTTTCTTTCTTTCTTTCTTTCTTTCTTTCTTTCTTTCTTTCTTTCTTTCTTTCTTTCTTCCAATCTCTACTTTAAGCAACTCTGGAGAAGGATATTTTCTTGAACAAGTATATTTCATTGTCCAACACTGAAAATATCTTTTTGGCTTTACTTCATATCCACTGTATGGGGCTCTGCTTTCAGTAGCTGTAATTTCACATCTGTTCTCTCTCTCTTCTTTATGACATTCTCTCCTCAGAATTTTTGTTCCTTAAGTGGGAAGTTCATTATTATGTGGAAATAGTTACCGAAGATTAACACTGGCGTTGTAGATGTTTGTTTGGTTTTTTCGAAAGGGTCTTATAAATTCACCCTAATTTCAGAAGAGAAAATCATTTCAACTTCCTTCCTTCAACTTTTTATCATAGATTATGTATTCCAAATATGTTCCTCCTCCTTTTTTTGTTCCCCTTTTTGGATGCATCTTTCAGATGTGGGGAACAAAACTGCTTCTGACACTACACCCTAAGAATCAACTGGTGATAAGAAAAGTGTTACCATAACCACCAGTGTTTTGCAGTCAGTGCTTCTAATAAATTAATGAGGAAAGCGCTTCTCTACAGCTGAGTCATATAAATCAGTGTTTCCCAACCTGTGGGTCAGGACCCAAAAGTGTGCTGCAAATACCCTTCCCATTATTTTCTTTCATATTTTGAAAACCAAGATCTGACCTTGGAAACAGTATCTTCCATGTCATAAATTAGTTGGTATTTTGTTTCTTCACTGCATATACATGATGATTATGTAAAACATGTCCTGATAGTTACTACAATGAGTTTCTTAGAATCTTAGGGGGTATTAGAGGGAGAAAGAGAGAATGGAGAATGACAGCATGGTCAAAGGTTGGAATGTAACCCTCCATATGCAAAGGCTCTCCATGTAACCCTCCATATGCAAACCCTCCATGTGGAAGTCAGATCAGAATAGCACTCGCTTGGGATTTATAGTGGGGGCAGCTGTGCCCTTTGTGCAATGTTTACCTAGGGCACAAAAAAAATGTGGGCCAGCCTTGGATGCGTCACCTTACTAAGTAAATTTGGACTTGTGGATCACTATACTGAAAAGGTTGGGAACGAGTGATGTAACAGACGTAGCATGATCCACTGTGACCCTTCAACTCTTCTTGATAGCACTGGGACATTTTGAATTTTTCTTTAGATCGAAGAACACCAAGAAGACCTTATTCATTTTGCACTGTCAAAGAGAAACATACTGATGTAACCATTGTTTGGTAAACAATTTCATCCAAAAAATTGCTTCGTAGTCTAGGTTTTACAAAGAATAGTTCTAATTTACTAGGCTAACAAATGGATATTTGGCCCAGAATGTCTTCAGCAACATTCATTGTCTGGAGAGGAAGTCTGATGCCCAGCTTTGAAAAGGTCATGTGTGGGCAGCAGTTGCCACTCACTACCATGGCTCACCCATCCAACCTGGTGAAAAAGTGAATGAACACACAAATAGAAGGCATAACTGACTATAGTCAGGAGGGAGCCCTTCGAAATGCTGGGACTTGCCCTCTGCTCTGTGATGCCAATCCAGGATTAGTATTCCCAACTCTTACTTGGGAAATTCCTGGAGATTTCAGGGTAGAGCCTGGGGTAGGTGGGATTTGGGGATAGGAGGGATGTGATGCCATAGAGTTTGTCCCCCAAAGCTGATGTTTCCTCCAGGGGAACTGATCTCTCAAAAATTCCAAGCTCCACCTGAAAGATGGCAACCCTACCCAAGATTATGGATTGAAAGCTGAAGAATGGTAATTTTTTCTCTTCCATCTTATTTACCAGCTGACAAACTCCTAAAATAGCAAAATCAAACTTTTAAATAATATAATTTACATTTTAACTAAAAAAAAAAAGAATGGTAATTTTACACTAATGCAATTTGAAAAAGGTTTCCCCCAAAGACAAAAGATGGAGGAGGAGATGGTTTTTATACCCCACTTTTCACTACCCAAAGGAGTCTCAGAGTGGCTTACAATCACCTTCCCTTTTTCTCCCCACAACAGACAGATAGGTGGGGCTGAGAGAGTTCTGAGAGAACTATGACTGATGCAAGGTCACACAGCAGGCTTCATGTGGAGGAGTGGGGAATCAAACCCAGTTCTCCAGATTAGAGTCCCCTGTTCTTTTACCACTAGACTAAACTATCAGAGATGATAGAATTTTTGCCCACTTAGTTTAAGCACCCATCATTTATTTATTTAAGGTATGTTTGTGCAGTTAAGCTCTTTAATGTTCACTATGTGCTACTATGGAAACACTACTCTACTGTACAGTTGCCAGGTATCTCCTGGCAACTGGCGGGGGTTGGGGGCGACTTACCAGGAGAAAGAGAATGGCCCAGGCCACATTGCTGGTGTTACAATGTTAGTGGCTTCCGTGCAACACTATGAAATTTGGGCAAAAACTCTATGATAAAACCAGCTTCTAATGTAGAGTTTTTGCCAAATACCACAGCATCACCTGGAGGTTGCTGGCTTGATGACATCACTTCCTGTGTGACACCAGAAACATGGCCCAGGTGTTCTTCTTTCTACTGGTAAGTCTCTCTGCCAGCCAGCTGATTGGTGGCTGAGGGGCAGGGCCTGGCAGCAGGGGACCCCCGACTCCATTGGGAGGGTCTGGCAACACTACTCTATTCATATGGTAAATGGGTGGAAATAACTTGAAATTTTGGCTTAAAGTATATACTTGTATTTTTTTTTGTCTTGTTCTTGAAAAGCAATGATTTTTTTAAAAAATTAAAGGACAAACTATTTAATGTAGCCTGAAGTTTGGGGGACAAACAATGTTGTGTGGCAATTGTAATGTATGTCAAGTAGTAGTATTTTTACTCCTGTCATCGGGGCCTGTCTTACTCTAGCTTTGACATTGCCTTGAGCATGGTGGTTGCCACCTATTCTCTAACACTCTGGGAATGTATAAATCTTCTGCCCAAATGGTTGGAGCAGATTGCATGGTTATATGCAGCCTGGAAAGCATTGGCTCATTGACTAACCACTCCGAGAAATATATTTTCCATGCTCCTTTATGTCCTGTGGGCCAATGCTGACATAATGAATGTGTTATGATGGCACATACAGTATGAAGAATAATTTGAAAAGTATGACCTTCTGCAGAATACTTAAGACCATAATTCTGCGTAAAGATTGAATATGTTTTGAATTCCTGAAGCAATATTTTTTCCCAATCAGAAGGAGAGCACTTAACAGTTACTCTCTAATCCCATTCTTGCTATCTTTAATCCTCCAAATCTTGACTTCTAAATGTCAGGGGTGCCTGATAGGTTTCACAAAGAAGACTTTTATGGGGATGTTCCTGACAGTGTCCCCAACCATCTTAAGTTTTAGTGCTCCTTTTATCCCTGGGCTGTTTCTTGAAAACTCACTAGTTAAACAAGATAGGGAAGCTTTATAATGGAATGAAGAGATCAAACTCATAAAATTCATCCAAGAAAGTGGGTCCTCTATGCAATCCCCCCCATGTGTGTGGCTGTGTATGTGGATGGTCATTATTTCTTCTTTGTAAATATATCAGTGTTGAGAAAAAAGCCATAAAACAATTTACCAAATATTGTAGAGCACAGTAAATATTATAAATAGTGATTCTTTAATACTGTGTGGCCATGTTTTCATTGCCAAGTATTTTCAAGTGGAAAACTTGCAGAATCAGCACATAGATGCTTTACATTCTGATGTAGTACATACACATTTAGAGATCAGTTCTCAAGTATCATGAAAATCCGCCCTCAGCCTTCTTTTTCTTTTTTCTTTTTTGAGCCCCCGGAGGGGATTTTTTAATTGTTTTTTATAAAACTACAAAACTAATACAGAAAAAAGGGAAGGGGAGCTACATATACAGGATAAAGTAAATAAACCCACTACTAACTAAAAACCCAAGAGAGGAGATCATCAATAGCTTAATTACATCAAGTCTTCCCTTCTTTTATGTCATTATAACCTGAGTCAAACATTTATAATATTTTTACCCTTTTCTTTAAATCTTAAAACTTAACTGTCTTAGAACAGTACCCCCAA